CTCTGGACGGTGTCATCTTCACCGGGCACCAATGACCCTGCAGCGTACACAACGCGATCACGAACCCGTATTGAGTTCGCACGAGGCATAAAGCCCCGAAGGCCATGTCCTTGAATGGATTGAATGTGGTGGCTGTGAGGCAACACAAGAGCGAGCGCTGACAGGGTTGGGAAAGCCTCCTATTACCTGCCCATAGAAATAATCAGTAATATATACGCCAAAAGAGACGCGGCATAATACCCACAAGTCGTCGTGCTAGTCAGACACGCTACCGAAGCATCCCGAAGCATTACGAGTTGTATTACAAGTGTTTCAAAGACAGCGTCTTCTGACTCTTCTCCTACAAAGACCATGACGCCAGAAGAGCGTAGAAGAGTAAGGAGAAAGAATATAGACTACATACCTTCAGGCAGGAGAAGACGTGAATCCGCAGATGTCTGAATTTCCCCTCCTAACTCTCACTAGATGGAGGGTCGGTGGATACGGGGACCGTGACTGAGCCCCGGCCCGGCTGAGGTTGCAGTTCGTGAGTGTGGTAAAACAGGGCACCACCACAGAGAACATATGGCAAACTCAATAACTGTATCGGTACCTAGCTGGCATGGCGTGCAAGCACGAACCGAGCAGGTCTATGTAAAGTGGTTGGTAGAGAAGGCCCGCTGGCGGGCGATGGCGCCACTGACGCGTTGACAGTTGACGCGACGCGAACTCCCACGTGCCCGAGACGCGTCGCGGGTTCACCGTGCTTGCTCGACTTCCGACCATCTCCTCTTCCGCGATACCGCCATGCCGCCTAGTCTCAAGCCCATCGACCCACTCCCGGAACGCTGGGAGCCTGCAGCAGATCCTAACGACATTGTCGTCCCCGGCCTTGACGCGAACGCGCCCGTGTATGATCAGATCGAGCAAATCGAGCAACTCATAACGATTAAGCTGCAGGTTCGTGCTCCCCTCATCCAGGACGCGTTGCGCTGACGTACAACACAGAGTGTTGATGCCAACTTCTCGAGAATGCAGCATATAATGGCAAATAGGATACTACCTGCGGTTAAGCGTTACTCGGTCGGCACGGAGTCAGTGAGGGAAGCTGCCAGGGTACGTCGTTATAGTCTGTATATGCGCGTCGAATTCATGCTCTGTAGTTCTGGACCACTTTCTTTGAGACAGCTGCACAGATTCGCGTGCCTACGTATGAAGAGTACAGCTCCATGCATGAACAAGAGGAACAAGAGGCCAGTTCGGACGCTGGTTCCGTAGCAGCAGAACAGTCCAATACCAGTGCGGAAGAAACTGAGGTAACTCCCACTCGCTCCCATCATACCACCTACACGTCGGAAGGCTCGTCAGAGGTGTCTTTCATGCCCCAGGCGGCCATGTCCTCCACGCCTGCCACAGTTTTCCGTCATCGTTCGACGACATCCCGCGAGAGTCTTGCGAACGAACACTCGGATACTACGCCTTCATGGACTGCCTCCCTGGAATCCCCCCTTCTGCGCCTTGCGGGAGAGGTGCAAAGCCTCGGCCAAGCAGACGAGGTATCCGCCGTGTCCGAGGGCACGGCGCGATACGACGAGTCCGAGGACGTGACACAGCGTCCAATGCCTTTACCTCAACTGCAACTTGAGCAAGAAGAGTATGACCGTAGCTCTTCCAAAGGCGAGAGTCGTGAGCTGCCACCACCGCTGCTCCAAGGTGTCCTGCGTCGCAATGCAACCTTGACAGACGCGACGAGCCCAAGGAAGCCTGCATACTCTCCTCTGAAACTCAAGCCGAAGACGCCTATCGCCAAGAATTTGAACCCTTATCTCCCGCTTGGCAGCAAGCCTACCGAGTGGAAGGGCGTAGTTGACCTCTCGGACCCGTCTTCCACCACACCACGGAAGGCTGTAGGAACTTCATCTTCGCAATCGCTGAATCTGACCGCGCGCTCCGCGGCACGGGGTCAGTCGACCACTCCACGTTATCCTGGCGACGACTCGCTCGACACGGACTTCGGTATGTCTCCGCCAGTCACCATGGACTTCGCTCGGTTGCCAAAGTTGGGCAAGACTCCCAAGAAAGAGGCTGCCGAACGCATCTTCCAGGGCCTTCTCAACATCGAGAAGCGCGGTGTTTTTGCCGCCCCTCCCGCTGCGGGCACGCGCGACGCAGGGAAGACGAATGGCGTGGAATCGAGTGGGAGCTCTATCCCCACCCCTCCTTCGCTATCCAGGTATCAGCCTGAACCTCAAGGTTCATCGGCGGGAAGTAGCATTGTCGACGCTAGCTTAGAGAGGATGATGCGGCAAGTCGGGATTATCAACGACTCTGGGACGAACGGATCGCAGTCGTCCGCTGATCGGCCGCCTGCGCAGCTTCGGGGACAGACTGTTGCCCAACCAACGTCGGCACTCTTGTCTGCCTCCATATTCCCCAGGAGACCGCAGACGTTTACAGCACCACAACCGCTACCCCCACCGCCAGCCCCCCAGACTCCCCTTGCCTTACAATTTGACCTTAGGCATGTCCGGGATGACGATCTCGATGGAGGAATGGGTGATGGCCAGCTAGACGACTCTCTCGACTCAATAGATTCGGTGGAGGACGAAGTCAACAACACCGCCAATCCCTCCGCGGCATTCATTTTTGCTCAAGGCGGCGGCGGTCCATACGACGACGAGGACTCCTTCGCCTCCGACGACACTGACGACTTTTCTGACGACGGGGGAGAAGGCGAGCCTCCCATTGAGGAAGAGTACCCACCAGAAGGTGATGGCTTCGACGATGACTCCTTCGACAACGAGTTTAGTGGCCCGCCTGAGGAGGAAACTGTATTCGGCGTGCCACCGGCAGAGCGCCTCCGGATCCAGGCTCGAGACTCGGAGTCGAATCTGCGCATGTATGGCGCAGACCTACTGCAGGACACACTGGGCGTCGGGTCGCAGATGGCGCAGGCGGGCAGAGTGGAGGATACACCGACGCCTGCTATAGTGCCTAAATGAACTTTGGTGTCGGTATTGATTTACAGAATATTGTAGCCATAGGAACTGATGTGCTTACTGCGATTTGCGTTGGTTTAGATGCGTCTCGCACATGCTTAGACTGAGTCTATACCACTCCAGCAGTCTCGGCGTTACCTCCGGATGGTGAGGAGGACGTAAATGTTGGGCGTTGATCGCATACAACCCGGCATGGCGAGTGCTTACCTCAAGACGATCGGAAACACCATCTGCAGCACATCTAATTGGCATACTATTGGGTGCCAGTGCTGCTCTGCCCCGAATGGTCCTGCAGATTCAGGATCTCGTTAGGGAAGTCTCCGCCCTCTGTATTCAAACATTGGTTCTCTGTCTTCCCAGTCTGCCAGCCCAGTACGCAAGTCGGGCTGCCCTTGTAGGATTCAAGGAGGAAACATCTGAAGTCGATTACACTTCAACGTCCAAGAACCTGCATTGTGGGTTGCAGATGGTTGCTGCCGCTGCTCTCTGGCGCGAACCCGGCTAACTCAGGTATCCTACGTACGCCATCTTCTTCGTCGAAGTCATAATATATTTAGGGTTTCTCTACGAGAGATTGAGCTCAATGACTAGTAATAATGTGTGCGTGGGTACCGTCATGCGCTTGAGCACACTTCGATCCATTATTCGACGAATCGTTCACTCTGTGGGACGAAGCGTCCGTCTTGTAGGGCCGTCCGGTCTAACAACTTATCTACTCAAAGAAAGCGTTTATCACGTATACGGCTCTCAGGCTGTTGACTACTATGCAATGCCATAACAGCTTCTCTCCATTTTTGAACTGGAATAAGGGCACCCTACGCACAGTGAATTCCCCGTAGGCAGACCCTTCTGCAAGGGGTCATGCGGTCGCATACGCAGCTCTAGCGTCTGCCCCAAGTCTGCCCGCCGAATTGCGTAGCTTCCGGCTCTGTTGAGCAAAAATGAAGGTAAGGACTTGAACCCGACCCGATTTGAACGGATGACCTTGTGGATATTCCAAAACTCGTATGGCCAACCAAATATCTAAACGGGACCAAAGAACAAGTGCCGTCGCTGTTTTGATCCGCATGCCACGGCGAGAGTAATTAAACGAGTAGATGAAAGAAAGGCTGTCGTCCCCGGGCATGCAGACGTTCTAGTCGTGACCCGCACGAGAAGCCAATGTGCTTCACCGAATAATGGCTGTCATTCAGTTAGCCACCCTTGGACGGGTCTATATCATGTTCTGTCGCTGACAGTCATTCTCGAGTGATGCCTTCCACATGCGGAAGGCGGGATGCATGCACAAGCCAGAACTCACCACGAATATAGGCATCCGCGGGGAAGGTGTACGACGATCATGATGACGCATCGGGTGCGGACGTCGGAGAGGGATACACACTCGCCAATCAGGAGACTGGCGTTCTCATCCAGGACAGAAGCTGCAGGTATTACTTTGGTTGTGCCCGAGACCACTGAGCGGCGCACCAGGTACTACGGGTATAGCGACTGATCGACCTCCCGGGCTACGATACAGCGGCCAAGTTACACGCGACTGGCACCCTGCGCGACGACGGCCGGGTTCGGTTCCACAGGCGCGTCAGTCAACGGCGCATTTGTGCGGGAGATGTGGAGGCTTCGCGGCGAGTAGACCGTCGACAGATGTCATCAACGCCTTGACATGTCCCGCCTTAATGAACCATTAGCACACGTTCCGCTTTGGAGCAAAGACTTGCAACGGGTCGAGCACATCGCAAGCCCTGCGCGGCATCGACATCGAGATCTATCAATGCATGCCAGGACTGGTAACAGAATACGATGTACCTTCGGAGCACAGTGCCGACACTGAGCGGACTACATGACTATCTCGCATTCAGGTTGGTGCTACAAAGTGTGACTTGAAAGTTGTCGCGCGTACGACCCAGCGGGGCAAATGGCCCCAGGACGAGGTGACGAAGCCCCCGATATATTTCCAAATTAGGGAACTTGGCGCTCGTCTGTGCCCAGACCGTTGTATAGGCACGTAGAAATAAAATAAAAATTTGAACCCCGCCCGATTTGAACGGACGACCTTCTGGAGGCAGGAAGCTGGAATCAGATGCTCTACCAGCTGAGCTAGGGGTCCTTGAAAACTTGAGGCCCAAGAATGTAGAGATAGCGACCGAGCTTGGTCAGCGGTACGGATCCGGAGAACATTCGTCGCGTGGGCTGTCACTTTGGTATGTACATATGCACAGCGTATGCGAACGGGCAGGCTCTTGTTGTATACATAGGATGAGCGAGAATGGCCAGTGACGCACATCACTGTCGTCCTCTGAGGTGTTGTTGTCAGTGGTACGAGACAGGTGAGGGTCGCTGGAGCGTCAATGGGGTTAGGGAAGGCCAAAGCAGGCTAGACGGGGGTGGCCGGAGGGGAGCAGCGAGACGATGTCTCGTGACGAGTGTGCGATCGTGGAGAGGGCCTCGCGTTCGCGTTTGGTAGGACGGTGGGGGCAGCGAGTGCAGGGATGAGGGCGGGCAGAGGAGGGAGGTCGTGGATCTTTATACTTACAGGAGCGGGGGGGGGAAGTAAGAACCGCCATGCTGCCAGATGTGGAGCGGGAGGTGGCGGCGATCGGACTTGCGGCCAGATCAGTGGAGCGGAGGCGAGTGGTGAGGCAGGCGCCCGCGCACCCTCCTCGTCGATCGCACAGGCGCCCGCGGCGCGGATTGCTCTGTCGATCGCGCATGGCACCCAATGTCCCTCGTATGCCGCGTGCAGAATCACACGCGCTACCGCTGCGCCACGGGTCCTCGTAATTCGAGGAGTAGACGATTTATTTGTTAGACCCAAGGCAGGCCACGTCCGAACATGTACGGAAACACCGTGGCTAGAGTGCAGACTTTTATCGTACGCTGCAGTCGACGCACCGCTGCCGTATGGCAGTGCGGGGGAATACGTAGTAGTCCAAAAGCCGCGATTATCATTGTACTCTGTGCGGCCCGACTGGAATGACATGTGTTATTGGCACGATAACTACTGACAGTATGTACTAGACTTCAGATTTTATCATGACGGTGTCATTGAGGAAGCGGTCGACATGGGTGCCGACGGTTCGGCCACCCAGGACGATCATAATGTGAACGAGCGTGTGATGGGCACGCTGACGGAGAGGGAGCAAGTCTACGTTTGCGCTCGCGATGTGGGCACGCACTTGGTCGCAGAGAGGGACAAAGAGGCGCGAGCGATGGTGAACGAGACCGTCGGCGGTCCACGTGGGATCAAGAAAGACGGCGGGGCCAAACTGTTGCGCGCATACAGTCAGTGTGAAGGGCACACACGCACGGAGAGAGTGATGTCAGTCGGAGGGCGTACCGTGTTGTACAATTTGAGGAGGCGGTTGCGGGCGGTGACGACGTGGCCGGCCTTGTTGCGCCACTTGGAGTACACCTCCTTCAGCTCTGTGAACCTTTTCTCCGCCTGGCGCTCGGTGAGACCCGCGAACGCGTCGGCATAGCTGGGGTCCTGCATGAACATGAGCTTGAAGAAAGCACCGATCCACTTCTTGCCACCCGGGAGAGCACGTCGAGCTTCCCAGTCGATGGCGAATTTGACGGTTTCAATCTGGAGGAGCACAGACACGACAACGTTGTAGGTCTCGCTGCCAGCCTCGTTCGCTGCGATGCCCTGCGGAGAGTCTGTGAGCCATGGTGCCGGGGGCTAGCGAGAGAGTACTGTCTGTGCACCACCCACCGTATAGCGCGAGCACAGTCGCGCTGTGATGTCGTCTAGGCCATCATAGGCAGCTGACTGGGCGACGATGCGAGTGATGCCAGTGATATCGTCGGCATGGGTGGTGAATGTCTCTGACTGCACACAACCATCAAGAGAGTGCAGAGCAAGGGAGCACACAGCACCCACCCAGTCATGGAGCGAGCCCAGGGGCAGTATGCGCAAAAGGCGTCCGAACGCGAGGTCTTCGAGGGCTGCGGTCTTGTGCCTCATGTGGAGCCCGAACAGCACCTCGGCGACGTCAACGAGAGACGGAGGATTGGGAGCGGCGAGGACCGCGGCCATACGAGTGGCAAGCGCCGCCTCCTTGGCGGATGCCTTGTCGTGTGCCTGTGTGAAGGTCAAAGGTGAGTAGAAGAGGGGACGGGACGGGTTATCATCGCGCATATAGTCACCACGGGCACGTCTCTGTGCTCTTGGCTGTCCACTTGCAAATGGACCTCGTCGTGACCGGTGTCTTCGAGGCCGTCTTGCTGTTCGCCATTGTCGTCGTCATCGTCATCCAGCAAGGGGTCATCGCGGGAACTGCTCGGCCGGAGGGCAGGGCTGTTGCCGGTGGCGGGAGTTTGGGGGGCTTCGTCGGGGGTGGCAAGAAGGGCATTGGTGACGGCAGCATGGATGGAGCCAACCCTCTCGCAGATTGTGGAAGCGAGGCGGCGAGAGCGCGGGGAGGTGTGTGGGGAGAGGGGGGAGAGCTCGGCGCAGAGAGGCTCGAGGACATCGAGGTGCTCGAGGATGGCCTGCAGTGCCATGACGGTGGGGTGCAAGACGCGGTCAGCTGACGCGGGCACGGGGGAGTGCGCATCGCGTGGGCTGTCAATTTGGTATACGGAGTGCGGATACGAACGGGCAGACGGGGAAGAGCGGGCGCCACAGGGCACGCCACACACAGAGCCGCTGGTGTTGTGGACATGGGATGAGTGAGACTGGCTACTCATAACAGTTTCCAATCATTCGTCGCCTTTGGCCCATCGCACGACGCAGAACGTGCATGTTACTGTTGCCCTCCAAGGGTGTCTGTCGCCCACTACCCTGCCGGGGTGACGGGATGGTGACCAAGGGTACGACGTTACCACAACCAATGCACCGGGTTATGGCTGTGAGGCATGAGAGAGATGCTGCGCGCCGTCGAGGAAGTGGAGGTGAGCAGACTAGACAAGATCCGGGGGGGGCAGCGAGATGATGTCTGGTGACGAGGGCGAGAGTGTGCGGATGGTGTGGAGGTTGTGGAGACGTGGGGGGCAGCGATGAGGGTGCGTATCGCGTTGCATTGCGTCGCGCGTCGGGTCGTGTCGGGGACGGCGGGGGCAGCGAGTGCCGTGAGTGCGGGGATGGGGGCAGGACAAGGAGGGCGGAGGTGGACGAGACATCACAGAGCTTGACACAGGGCATTGAGAGGACGGCAGGCCGGCGTGACGTCAAAGGACGCAGAAGACGGCGATCGTACGCGGGGGAAGTGGACCGTGAGGACTTGCGGTCAGATGTGGAGCGAGGGCGGCGAGCGAGCCGGCCAGGGCATTGTGGTGACCACGGCGGGGGGGCGGACGATGTGAGAACGTCGAGGGTACACGGGCACACGAGCGGCGACGGCATGGTGGTGTCAAGTGAAGGAGACGTGAGCGGCGGGGGACATGAGTGGCGGCGTCGGTCACGGTGCGTGCACGTGGTCGTGGAGGCGGCAGGCGCTCGCTCGCGCGCAACTTTGCGGGACTCTGCATCTTCCCTCCCTCCCTCTCTCCCCTCTCTCCCTCTGCCGTTGGGCAACCCTATGCACGCGGCATACGAGAGACAGGAGAGACCATGCGATCGAGGGAGGAGTGCGCACGGGCGCCTATCGTGCGGACACGCTACCGCTACGCCACGGGCCTTGTTATCGTAAATTTCAATGTGAATTGCATCTATCAAAACGTTCGCTAAACTCCCTGCAATTGGTGCTTTTTCGCGTACCGAAGACATTCGCAAGTGTCAATGGAATCCAACGACGTGCTGCCAGCCTTGCGGGTCATTGTTACGAATTTGCTTACTCAGCAAGGCCAGATTGTTTCCGGGGCGATCATGTCGTTGGTCGCGTCGTCAGTCAATGAAGTTTAGTACAGTGAATCCCTGATTCCGCTCGAAGAACGCACAAATGAAGTGTGGCATCGCCAATGAAGTAGGGTATGTGGTGATAATGGTACAAATCACCAAGACGATTCTGATGCTGATACTTTGCGTCGACCCCCATCGTCCTCTTTGATGGGAGTAACAGCAGTCCTCTCCCCGTCGTCCCGGACGACTTCCCGGGTGAACATGATATGCGTTGGAGACTGAGTGCTCTTTCTCTTCCTTGCCTTCGATTTCCTCCTGTTTCGCAAGTGTCAGCGGTTACGACTATGAGGCGCGTGCATCACACTGACCTCGAAATTGACGCAGCCTGTCCAGGCCTCTCTTCGACAGAAAACATATCGAGCGAGTACTCGGGGTCGGACGGGCCTTCCCGCAGTTGGTGGCGCACGTTGATCCTGGTGAGCATGGCGAGTGTAAGTACACATGCGGGCGGGCTGCACTTCTCTCAGTGATACTCACACAGCAAGGAGCGAGTTTACGTAGACTGCAAGGGAACACGTGAATACGATAGCGTGGACCAAGCCAGCATTTATACTCACTTTTGCTGCCGGGTACGTGCCACAACATCCAATATAAACTGGTCGTGTGAATAGTGCTGATATACTGCGAACGTCAGGCCGACACATGTCAATGCGACTCCAAGGGTACGTACCGTAGTGAAGTGCGCCAACTGAATGAGTCTGAGATATTGCGCATTCAGCCTCGATACATGCAACAACAGAACCTTCCTCACGCGGTGAATATGCCCCGTTGGATTGCGTAGTTCATTAGCGCGCTGATCATCGTCTCTGTCCTGGACACTGTTCAGCTCTTTATTTGTCCAACTTCGTTCGAAGCGGCGTACCTCCTGAACCCTGTCATCCGACTCCATAGAATTACGCATAGAGAAAGCGTGATATAAACGTCTGTAACGAATGCAGTGACCGTCTGTATCGAGGCAGGAATCTACATACATTGACATCAGAACGGTGTACCACGCCCAGGCTACCTAGTACTGACCGTTGCATCGATGACAGCGGCGGTGGCGAGTGTGTTTTGATTTCTGGGGGTGTAGCGGATCAGCATATACTTGAGGCGGACTGGGGCAGAAGGCGTACACCCGGTAGACAGTGACTGTATGCGCGTGTATTTAGCGAGAGGGCGTAGATAAACATCGGACCGCTTACCGATGCCTCCAACTGACATGTTCGCCACCGCTCAGCAACGTGAACAAGTGATCAAGTTGAATACGTACCGAAGGACATCAT